TCACTCCTAGGATGGTTCCAGTATGGTCCTGGTCACTCCCACTAGGATCCCAGTCACTCCCAGTCAATCCCAATAGGCTCCCAGTTGCCCCCAAGGTGGTCCCAGTTGCTCCCAGTCGCCCCCCAGGATGGTTCCTTTCCCTCTCAGGGACTCCCAGTCTGAGTCCAGTCTGGCCCCAGGCACTTTCAGTCATTGCCTGGATGATGCCATTTGCCCCTGCATGGTCCCACTTGCTCCCAGTATGATCCCACTATGAGTCCAGTCACACCCAGTATGACCCCAGGAACTTCCAGACACTTCCAGTGCAAAACCAGTTTGATCCCAGTCACTGCCAGTATGGTTGCAGTCCCTCTCACATACTCCCAGTACTGCAGTCACTCCCAGGATGATTCCTGTCAGTCCCAGTGTGATCCCAGTATGAGCCCAGCAGGGGCTCAGCTGCTCCCACTCTGATCCCAGTTGCCTCCAGCGTTGTTGCAGTTGCTCCCATTCACCCCTTCTGTGCTTCCAATCACTCCCAGTATCATCCCTGTCACTCCCAGCCACTCCCAGTAGATCCCACTTGCCTCCAAAAGGCTCCCAGTCACCCCCAGTATCATCTCACTCACTTTTAGTCATACTCAGTATCATCCCACTATGATCCCAGTCACTCCCAGTACAATACCAGTCTCTCCGAGTAGGATCCAGGTTACCCCCTGCATGGTCCCAGTTGCTCCCAGTCACACCACTAGACTTCCACTCCCTCCCAGTCCCTCCCAGGACCATCCCAGTAGGACCCCAGTGACACCCCAGAGGGTGGCACTCACACCCAGGATGAACCCAGACCTGCCCTGGCACTCCCAGGATAAAGCCATTTGCCCCCAGCAGGCTCCCAGTTCCTCCCAGTCACNGGGGGGCCCAGGGGCTCCCAGCACGGGCCCAGGGGCTCCCAGTCACCCCCAGCATGGGCCCAGTCACCCCCAGCATGGGCCCAGTCATCCCCAGGATGATCTCAGTCACTTTTAGTCACGCCCAGTCTGATCCCAGCATGACCCCAGTCACTCCCAGTCTGATTCTGTTCTCTCCTAGTAGGATCCAAGTTACCCCCTGCAAGGTCCCAGTTGCTCCCAGTCTGTCCCAGTATAATCCCAGTCAGTCCTGGTGTCTCCCACTATATCCCAGTTGCCTCAAGTGTGGTCCCACTCACTCCCAGTTGTTCCCAGCACCTACCATCATAATCCCAGTTGCTCACAGTCACTCCCAATCACCCCCAGTGTGGTCCTAGTTACTCCCAGTATGATCCCAGTCAGTCCCAGTATGATCCCACTTGCTCCCAGTATATCCCAGTTTCGCCAATATGGTCCCAACTGCCCTCAGAATGCTCCCAGTCACTCCCAGTATGACCCCAGTCACCCTCACTGTGGGCCCAGGTGACCGAGCATGGGCCAAGCCTCCCACTGAGATCCCAGTATGATCCCACTTGTCCCTAGCATTGTCCCACTTGCTCCCACTTCCTCCCATTGTGATCCCAGTTGCTTCCAGCTGCTCCTAGCAGAGACCCAGTCACTCCCAGTATGATCCTAGTATGATCCCTGTATGATCCCAGTACAATCACTGTTACCCCTGCATGGTCCCAGTTGCTCCCAGTTGCCCCCAGCACAGTCCAAGTCACTCCCAGTGTGGTCCCAGTCACCCCCAGGATGGTTGCAGACTCTCCCAGTAGATCCCAGTTGCCCTCAGCAAGCTCACAGTCATACCCAGTTACTTCCACTTGCCCCAGGATGCTTCCAGTTCCCATCAGTATCATCCCAGTCACTCCCAGTCTATGCCAGTTGCCTCCAGTATGCACCCTGTCACTCCCAGTCACACCCACTTTCTTCCACGTTGATCCCAGTTTCTCCAAGTGTGTCCCCAGTTGGCTTCCAGCATGGCCCCACTGGCTCCCAGTTCCCCTTTATGTAGTTCCAGTCACTCCCAGTATGACCCCAGTCACTTACAGTCACTCCCAGGATGGTTGCAGATTCTCCCAGTAGATCCCAGTTGCCCTCAGCATGCTCACAGTCATACCCAGTTACTTCCACTTGCCCCAGGATGCTTCCAGTTCCCATCAGT